ATTGCCAAATGTCAAACACAGTTGGTCGTCGTCAAAAAAAAGCTTTTACAAGTTCAAAAGAAAAACAAAACAAAAGAGAGTCAAATAATAAACACTAACGGACAATTAAACTAGGAACAAAATCGCGTTTGGAGATCATTAATAAAAACGCTACATAACAACAACCCTCGCGTCAAGTTTCCATTATAACATTTTGTTTCCATATTTCTTCACGCAAAATCCAAAAAAGGAGATTTTACATTTTCGGTCTAAGGTTTATAGTTTTGGGTATACTGAAATCAGACGTGTAGTCGACTAATTCCTTCTCTCGTCGACGTCTTCCCCAAAAAGAAACAATCTTTCTCTTTGTTCCATTGCTTCTTCTTCCTCGGTTTCTTCGTCGATAGTCTCTAAACAGGTTTGTTTCTCGTATTGAAACCTGCATTGGATTTTCAATTTCGTACTCTTAATCAAAGTTTCTTTCTTTCGATTTTGGGTATATTGCAAAATCTGTTAATGCGTTTTTTGGAGTATCGAAAATTTGAGATTTGATTTAGTATTCTTGATTTACTGCTAAGTTTATAGGATTTATTAAGTTTAACCCTTTTGATTAATTGTTGTTTATTACGCGTAGGGAATTTTGTGTGGAAAAATGGCTACGGTTGTGTCTCACCAAGCGATTGGGTCTATTGTCTCTCAAAGACCTTTCAATTTCAAAGCTTCACAGTTTCTAAAGGAGCTTCCTTTGAATAATCCGATGAAGTTTAGACAAAAAAGATTCAAGATCGAAGCAACTGCTTCTCAGATTCCTGTTTTTGAGCCTGTTTTGTCTCCTTCCAAGAACATAACTCATGAATCCAAGAAAAAATCAAGTATGATGCTTCTTTCTTCTTGTTCCTCATGAGTACAAGTTTTTTGTTGGTCTGAATCAAGTTTTGGTTTTTTTCAGATGAAGCAGCTTTGATATTGATTAGGCATGGAGAATCGTTATGGAACGAGAAGAATCTGTTTACGGGTTGTGTTGATGTGCCATTGACTGAGAAAGGTGTGGCTGAAGCTATTGAAGCAGGGAAGAGGATTAGCAACATACCTGTCGATTTGATCTTCACATCGTCTTTAATCCGTGCGCAGATGACTGCAATGCTCGCCATGACTCAGCATCGACGCAAGAAGGTTACTAAAAAGATCGAAAAAGATTCAATGGTTGTTTGTTCATGAGATTGCTCTATTTTAAACTTGTTGTGTCAATTTGTCTAGGTGCCGATTATCTTGCACGATGAGAGCGAAAAGGCGCAAACTTGGAGTCATGTTTTCAGCGAAGAAACTAGGAAACAATCTATCCCGGTTATAGCGGCTTGGCAACTGAATGAGAGAATGTAAAATACATTATGGCTTCTCGTGTTTTCTGTAGTACGAAAGACCATAGAAGCTTGTATAAAGTTTCTGAAATTTTCTTTTCTTGAGTTAGGTATGGAGAGTTGCAGGGTTTGAACAAGGAAGAAACAGCGGAAAGATATGGGAAACAGCAAGTTCACGAATGGCGTAGGAGTTACCACATTCCCCCTCCTAAAGGCGAGAGCTTGGAGATGTGCGCTGAGAGAGCTGTGGCTTATTTTGAAGACAATGTATGAAATGAATGAGAGATTTCGTTTTCCTTCTTCTTACTTACGTAATCGTTTATGCAGATGCTTAGAAACGTTTTCAATACAAATGCAGATTGAACCAGAGCTTGCATTTGGAAACAATGTATTGATTGCTGCTCACGGGAACTCATTGCGATCTATCATTATGTATCTTGACAAACTAACATCTCAGGAGGTAACAGTCCAGAATTCAGTCTTTTTGATCACTTGGTTTTGCGGATTTGCTAAAACTTTTAAGTTTGTTTTGCTTCTCTCAGGTTACAAGCTTAGAGCTATCGACGGGTTTACCATTACTCTACATCTACAAAGACAGAAAATTCATGAGACGAGGAAGCCCGGTCGGTCCTACAGAAGCCGGTGTCTATGCTTACACTAAGGTAAACCAAACCAAACTAAACCAATTGTTTGTCAGGTTTCTTTTATCTCCATGGTTATGAGTTTCCTCACAATATGCTCTTCTTGGTTTCAGAGATTGGCACAATACAGACAGAAGCTTGATGAGACCCTCTAAACCAGAAGCTCGGGTTTTCTTTTCTTTCCGTCTTTCACTTTCTGAGTTCCTATGTAGTGAGAAAGGAATCATCAACAGTTTGAAATTTGTATTAGATACACAAATCACGTTTATTACATGTTATTGAAAAGCCAATTCAAAAAGAATTGTCTTATTTATATGTTTTCATATTCAGACATTAACGGTAAGAGGGAGCTCTGAATCTCCAACTGTTAAGAAATACTTTCCTTCTTCAACAACCATAACTCCAACCTCATTAGCTCTGCTCAAATGCTCGCAGAGACCAATCTCAAACTCAATCTCTGCCTTCTCTCCATTACTTAGCACAATGCTCTTAAACCCGACGAGCTGTTTCTCTGCGCGTTTTCCATCTTCTCCTCCTCTCTCGTGCCTCGCAAACATCAGCACGGGATGTTTACCCGCCATCTCTCCTTGATTCTCAACCATCACACTCACCTTAGTCTTGGCTATTTCGCAACCGTCCTTCCCCATTTCTGAAACCAGAGCGTATCGAACAGAGTCCACCGAGTTGGGTTTAGCCACTGATTGATTCAAGTAGAGGTTGGTTTCGGCCTGAGTCTTGAACCGGTAAGAGTAAGTTGAGTAGCTAAGACCATGACCAAACTCAAACACTTTAGGACCTTTGTAGAATCTGTAAGTCCTTCCTGGATATTCAGCCCCAGACCGCATTCTCATGTCGGTCATCTTCACATTCACAAAGCTCTGAGGATACCATGTCACAGGTAATCTCCCTCCTAAACAACACACACAAAATCAAAACTTAAAGAAACAAAAACCGAAGCATTTTTTTCGCTAATCGTTGAAGAAGAGAAGTCTTACCGGGATTGTGGTCTCCGAATATGATTTCCGCAAGAGCTATACCTCCAGCTTCTCCAGGATAACCAGCCCATATGATGCTTCCGATCTTATCGTTATTCGTAGCGAACCAAACATCAACAGGACCGCCACATATCAGAACCAGAACCACTGGTTTCTTTGAAGCTTTCGCAACGCTAGTTATGAGCTCTCTTTGCTTCCCTGGAAGACTAAGGTCCACACGGTCCATATCTTCTTTCTCTTGAGTCTTGTCTAGTCCCAAAATCAAGACCACACGATCAGCATCTCTCGCGATTGCAACCGCTTGATCAACAACTTCAGCGTCAGAGCAAGCCACGGAATCGCATCCTTTATGGTAAATCGTGCTCTTGATGTAACCGCGCGTGATGTAACCGTTGATTGCGTCTAGAGGAGTCACGGTCTTGCAAGGCGGACCAGCGTAGTTTCCGAGTAGCGTTTTCGCGACGTCAGCGTTTGGACCGATCACAGCTAACGATGAAATGCCGCTGCGTTTGGAGAAAGGAAGGAGTTTACGAGCGTTTTTCAACAGAACTATACCGTTACGAGCTGCTTCGAGTGCTAAAGCTTGATGAGCCGGAGCACAAACGTCCTTAGGACTAATGTTTCCGTAAGTCAGTTTGGTCGGATCGCCGTTAAAGAGACCGAGACGAATCCTAACGGAGAAAAGATTGATCAAAGCTCTGTTTATGTCTGATTCCGATATTTTCTTCTGTTGAAGAGCTGATTTGGTGTGCTTTCGTAAGTATGATCCACAGTTTACGTCCATGCCGGCTTTGAGGACGTCAGCGACTGCGTCTTCAGGGGATTTGGCGTAGCCTTGAGCATCGTAGATGATCGAGACTGCGTCACAATCTGAAGTAATGTATCTGAAAAATGAATACGATTTTACTCATAATTGAAGTAAGATCACTAGTTCAAGTCCACTTGGAAGAAGTGGAAACCGGAAAAGATTATTAGCTAAATGCTCCAAAATTTTACGGTCAAAAAAAGAAAAGACGAACCCGTTGAAGTGCCAGAGACCACGAGCGGTTCGAGTCAAGAGGTTTGGGTCAGCGCAAGCGGGAATGCCGTTGACACGGTTATAAGCGCACATGATGCCACTGGCTCGACCTTCTTGAATGCATTTCTTGAACGGTGGTTGGTACGTCTCAGCTAGGTCAGCTAAGCTCACCTTTTTTTTTCCATTTGTTAAAATCAAAGAATTATGTTATTGAATAAACATAATTACCATGAGATTAACATTTTATTTAAGACTGTTGTGATGTTACTATAGCTATCTAACCCCAAAATAATACTATAT